GCTAAGAGAGTTACCGTTCTTCAGAGATTCTGCTAAAAGGAAAGTATAGGGGTTCAAGGGGTACACTTTGGACTAGGCCCCCCTGGGTTCAGTTCCAATTTGTCCCCTCACTAACTGGACAATCTCACATAAATTATTTAATTTTTTGGTGTCTCAGATTCTTCAGCTGTGAAATATGAACATATTTAAGCATAGTACCTGTTTTGTGATGAGCCTTCAATAAATATTGGCAATTGTTACAGATCGAGCGTCCCTAATCTGAAAATCCAAAATCCAAAATTCCCCCACATCCAAAACTTTTTGAGCACTAGCTTGACTCTCGAAGGAAATGCTCATTGGATAATTTCAGATTTGGGATTTTCATATTAAGAATGCTTGAGGAGTGTAATGCAAACATTCCTAAATATGAAAACATCCTCAGTCTGAAACACTTGTCCCTCCCAAAAACTAAGTTGCATTCAATATTCTAGATATTTGCTTTATTATGTGCGTTCAGGGGATACTGGAAGGGAGAACGAGTTTTTAATGTAGGGGAATAAAAACTTTTTTAGATAAAAAATAGTCACTAGCAGATTATGTAAAACCATCTGCTACTAGAAAGCCATTAAAATTGATGACCACATCCGGTCCCTCAAAGGGGAGAACCATTTTTAATGAGTTTATGCCTAGGTCATTAGGAGGCTTTCTCTCATTTTTATGTTAAAGAAAATGATGCTTCTAGCTTAAAAGAAGAATCTGAAACCTAAGAAAAATGTGATGGAATTACCTGGGAACAGGTCCCAAGTCTCGCCCCAGCTAGAATAACTATTATCAAAGAGACAAAGAATAACAAATTCTGGCAAGGATGTGGAGAAAGGGGAAGCCTCATGTACTATTGGTGGGAATATAAAGTAGAACAGCCGCTATGGAGAACAGTATGGCAGTTCCTCGAAAAACTAAACATAGAGCTATCATCCAGCATTCCCACTGCTGGGTGTATATCCAAAAGAAAGGAACTCAGTGTGTCAGAGAGATCTGTGCACGCCCATGTTGATTGCAGCACTGTTCACAATCGCCAAGATACGGGGACAACCTAAGTGTCCATCAGCAGATGGGTGGATGAAGAAAATGTGGTACATAGACACAACGGAATATTATTCAGCCATAAAAAGAATGAAATCCTGTCATTTGTAGCAACATGGATGGAACTAGAGAACATTATGTTAAGTGAAATAAGCCAAGCACAGAAGGCAGAGATCACATGACCTCACTCATGTGGGAGCTAAAGAAGTGGATCGCATGGAAGTCTAGGGTAGATTGGCAGTTACTGGAGTCCACAAAGGGTAGGGGTGGGAGATAAAGAGAAGCTACTTAATGGGTACAAAAATAGAGTTAAATAGAAGGCAGAAATTCTTGTATTCTATAGAACACTAGGGAAATTATATTTAACAATAATTTTTATATATTTCAAAGTAGCTAGACAAGAAGAATTGTAATTTCCCAACACAAAGATAAATGTTTGAGGTGATGGGTATCCCAGTGACCCTGATTTGATCCCTATACATTGTATATATGCATTGAAATGGCACCTATACCCCCAAAATTTGTACAACTATTACATGTCAGTAAAATATTAATACAAAAATTTAATTTTAAAATTTTTTAAATAGAAGGTGTCCCAGGGAAAGTACTTGTGGTAGCATGCCACAGAGATCACTGGCATCCCAAAGCGCGGCTACTAATGATGAAAATATAATTTCAAAGTGTTTTCTATTTTTCAAATCAAAGGAAATAGGACTCGGAAAGGGGGAGAAGTCATCAGGGATTTGGGAAGTAGGCCGTATGTTTGTCACACCTGCTCCTGTAGGAAGGAGAGGGCTCTACAGAAACCATCTTGGAATTTAAAATGTGGCTGTAAATTAATTAATTACATTCAGCAGCTATTTTTTGAGGGGCAGACCATAAAAAGCATAAAGTATCCTTGGAAGCCACAGGTGGCCTTTTGGCATGCAGAGTATTACAGCCGGATTTGGAACTGGATCCAGCAGGCCCAGTGAATTTTTCCTCTTGTAGAATCTCTTCTGCTTTCCCCTTCAACTCCAGCAAGCAATGTTCATTTGGAGCTGGACTGAGTCACGTGCCCACACATACGAAGCAGAGGCTTGCCGAGAAGGGGCCTCAAAGTTGAAGCTGCTAGGGCAGCTTCAGGTTGTTTTTGCCATGAGCTCTGGGATTCTGATAGCCTAAGAATGAAATATTGTTCAAATAATCAAATTTTCCTGAAAAGTTCGTTATTTCAGAAGGATATGGATTGTTGCCTGAGGGACCAGACAGTTTCCTTTGCAGTGGGAGCAACTCTGGCCTCCTCAAAGCTCTGTGCCCCTGTCCACTGAGACTCTCACCTCCTCAGGAGCCTCCCTCTTTCCCATATTCCAGGGTTTCTCGGGGGGTGAAGCAACCATCCTCATGTGCTTGGCTTTGGAGAGCCCAGCTATGTAGGTGCTTCATAGATGTTTGCTGAGATGTGTTTCCAGCATATATCTCTAGATGGGTGGTGACAGCCAGCCGGCCTGGAACTGATTTGATTTTCTCTGTCTTACCTACTCATCCAGTGCACACTGACCAAGAATTCTGCCTTGTGCAGGGAGTATTCTAGAGAGGATGAATAAGGTTTGTTTGCCGACTTGAAATCTATAATGAGAGATTAATACGAGAACCTGCAAAAGCACAAAATGGAAAAGAGCAGCGCACAGTCAGATCACCACGAATTCCCAGTGACTGGAGCATAGGATGGATAAGGATTTTGAAGGGACTGGTCTGTAGGCTGTGACTTCCTGGTAGATCTGCAAAGGGCAACACATAGCAAGTGTGGCAGTAGCAATATGTGGCAATGGGCACTTTCTGCAGCAAGGTGGTCCACCAGGGGCCATTCTGTCAAGGAGCTGAATCGGTGTTGTTGCGGCCACCCTGCATTCAGCTTGTTTCTGTGGGGTGGTCAAATGGAAGTGTGGAATGGGAACTGGGGTTGCCAGCCAGGGCGTCCTGCCTGTAGCCATCTTGCCTCTCAAACCTCCATTTGTAAAACAGAAATGAGCCTTCATTACCTAACCAGGTTGTTTTGAGAGGCCAGTGAGATGATGGAAGTGAAAGAGCTTTGAAAACATTGCAACACAGTGAATGACTTTTTCTTTTTCAGCTTTCATTTTAGAATCGGGGGTACATGGGCAAGTTTATTACAAAGGTATATTGAGTGATGCTGAGGTTGGGGCCATGACTGAACCTGTCACCCAGGTAATGAATATAGTACCACATAGTTAGTTTTTCAACCCCTGTGCCCCTCTAGTAGGCCACGGTATCTATTGTTTCCATCTTTATATCCATCTGTACCCAATATTTAGCTCCTACTGATAAGCGAGAGCTTGCGGTATTTGATGTTCTGTTCCTGTGATAGCTTGCTTAGGAAAATGGCCTCCAGCTGCATTCATGTTGCTGCAAAGGACATGATTTTGTTCTTTTTTATGGCTGCATAGTATTCCATGATCTATGTGTACCGCATTTTCTTTATCCAATCTACCAGTGATGGGCTGGGTTGATTCCACATCTTTGCTGCTGTGAATAGTGCTACAGTGAACATGTACCCTTTAGGTAGAATGATTTATTTTCCTTTGGGTATTTACCAAATAATGGGATTGCTAGGTCAAGTGGTAGCTCAACTCAGTTGTTTGAATCATCTCCAGACTGTTCTCTGCTGTGGCTGCATTGATTTACATTTCCAACAGTGTCTAAGTGTCCCCTTTTCACCTAGCCTTGCCAACATCTGTTATATTTTACTTTTTAACAAAACCCATTCTGACTGATGTGAGATGGTATCTCACTGTGGTTTTGGTTTACATTTCTCTGATGATTAGAGGTGACAAGCATTATTTCATGTGTGTTACTTGCTTGCCTGTATGTCTTCTTTAGAGAATTGCCTGTTTATGTCTTTTGTCCACTTTTTAATGGAGTTATTTGCTTTTTGCTTGTTGGTTTAAGTTCCTTATAGATTCTGGACATTAGACCTTTGGTGAAAGACTTTTTTAAAAACAATAAAGTGTTTAGGCAGTGGGGCCAACACTATTGTTTTTAATGTGATATCATTTCTTGCATTACCACATCCATTCTGTCTTGAAATTATTCTTTTAGAGAAAAGGGAAAGGGAGGAGGTAGCAGACCTGGAACAGCAGGAAATAAACACCCGCCTCAGGACTGCAGAGCGGGGCCTCAGGGCCCTGAAAAGAACCCTGAGGCCAGGCCTGGGTGGGGCAGGAAGCAGAGCAGCCTCGCCTGTGGCTCCCACTAGGTCTGTGAACAGCCAGATCTGCCCACAAACCACCATCAGCAACCCAGAGGAGCCCCAGGAAGCACCCTGAATGCCAGGCCCAGGGGTTCCCCATGGAGGCGGGACACCAGCCCCCACCCTCCCTGTTAATGGGAGTGGTTTCCAGGTGACTCATATAAGTAAACTACAAAAAATGAACTAGAGGCCATTAGCATTATTTCAAGTAAGACAAGTGGCAGGTCCCACATTGTATTCTAACTTATCTCAGGATCAGAGACGGAAACACAGAAAGGCTTGGCTTTAGCTCTTTCGGAACCAGAGCATTTCTGCCATTTCATTCTCTGTAAGAACTGCACCTGGGGCTTGACTAAGTAGTGAGTGAAATCTCCACCTGAATGATGGTTGCCTCAGTCCCTAGAGAGGCAGGACAGAGTCAGGGTGTTTGGCAGGCTTTTGAGGCTCATGAGTATTTTTCTTCCAGCTCTGCCAAACACCAGCTCTATGACCTTAAGCAAATCACCTAACCTTCTGGGGCCCAGTTCCTCCATGTAAAACATGGCAGTAAGAATAGCACCTCCTTATGGTACTGTTAGAATGCTCTGCAGTGCCCAGAGTCTTGAGCCTAGTTGGCTGTGGAGGCACCAGAGTGCCAGGCACTTTCTCGGTCGGCTCTCAATGGTCTCCTCTGACCTCTTCCCCACAGGGCTCTATGTTCTGGTTGGAGCCGGGGCCCTGATGATGGCCGTGGGGTTCTTCGGGTGCTGCGGAGCCATGCGGGAGTCACAATGTGTGCTTGGATCAGTAAGTGGGGCGTGGGGGTAAATGGTGGGGTCGGGGTGAGGGTGCAGCCTGCATCTGAAGGGAGTCAGTGCCTCTGGCCCCCGATTCTAGCCCCTCCATGGACTTTCTGACCTCTTGGCACCCACTTTTCCTCCCTGAGTCTTGGTTTCTCCATCTCTTACATATGAATAATATTACCTGGATTCGGGCACAGTGACTCACACCTGTAATTCCAGCACTTTGGGAGGCCAAGGCAGAGGATCTCTGGAGCCCAGGAGTTCAAGACTGGCTTGGACAACATAGAGAGACCCAGTCTCTACCTGGTGTGATGGCACACACCTGTGGTCCAGATATTCAGGAGGCTGAGGCGGGAGGATCACTTAAGACCAGGAGTTGGGAGGCTGCAGTGAGCCATGACGGTACTCCTGCACTCCAACCTGGGTGACAGAGCAAGACCTTGTCTTGAAAAAAAGAATAAAAATAACATTATCTTTGTTCCTGCCTCATATGGGAAGCTTGAAAAAGAAATGAGGCCGTTGGTATAAAGATATTTTGGGGAGGAAAAGTACTTAGTAATTTTAATGATTGTTCTTTTAAAAAAATAATATTTCACCGTGGGCGAGGCAGCTAAAAGATTTCTATAGCCAGGGAAGTGCTGTTACCTACAAGGAAAACATGTATGTTTGAGATCAATAACTTAGCCAAAATCCCTCTTGTGGCTTATTCTAACAAGCAGCTTCTATTTTTAAAAAATCAAATAATTTCAATTAACTGCTGTACATTCAATGCCAGTGTAGCCTGAGAGAAACAGGAAGGAAGAAGAGGGGCAGGAGGAGAGAAAGAGTTGCTATTTCTCCACAGGGAGTAAGAAACAGCAGTTTTAGTAGGCAGCCTCTCATCTCTCATTACTCACTGTGATCTCTGGATTGCTAACTCTGGCCGCAGCCTCTGACCTCTTGCTATGCGAAATGTCTAACTTGTTTCGTTAGCCATGCATTCTTTCTGTTTCTCCTACTGCTGCGCTATTTCTGTCTTGTTTATCACTGAACTTAGTTTGATCAGAGCAAATCCATAGACCAGAACAGAAATCCATCCAGAATTTCACCTCCACTCCCATCTCCACAGAGAGGCCTTTCGAGACCACAGAGTCTCAAGTCATCGCCTTCCCCAAGCCGAGGCTGCATCAGTGACTCTCTCTCTCTCCTGACCTTGTATCTTTATGGGTCTTTTGTGTCCGTCAAGTATTAACTGAGCACATAGATGCCTAGCGCTGTTCTATGCGGTGGGATTTTTGTATCACTAACTGAACTTATCTTATTTACTTTTTAATTTCTTTACTCAGTTATCATATATTCCCCTGTCCAATCCAAGGTCCGTGATAGCAGAGACACTGGGATTTATCTTGTTCACCACTGTATACTCAGCACCAAGGACAGTACCCAGTGCAGAATAGATGCCCAATAAACAATTGCTGAGTGAATTAATTAATGAATAAACAAACTGCATGAAAGCAACTCATCCGTTACATAAGGAAACTAAGGTGCAAAATAAATATATTGAAAAGGTATTAAATTAATGAAATTAGTATTTTCTCTCCTCTACAGTTTTTTACCTGCCTTCTGGTGATATTTGCTGCTGAAGTAACCACTGGAGTATTTGCTTTTATAGGCAAAGGGATAGTAAGTAAAATTTACTTATAATGTTTTTCTATGATGGTTAAAAGTGTTATAATGTTGTTATCCACAATATTATTAAGAAACCAAATAATCTCCAATATTGTAGTTTAAACAGAACTTTTTAACTTAGAAGTGATGTGCAGAACTGAGCATATGTGTGTGTCAGTGTGCAGGCATGTACAAGCTCACATTTTTCTGGGGAGATAGCACATATCTTTCATTAGACTTATGAAGTGGTCTCTAATAAATCCTCCCAAAAGGGATCTCTAGTTTAAGATTCTTCCCCAGTGTGAAATGGGGTAAGTAAGAGTTAGAGTACAGACTTGAGAAAGAGTGACAGAGAAATCATCCAGCTTCTCATCCCCTGTCAGCGTGTCGTTTGTCCTTAAGGATTGGCCTGGGTGGGGTCATTTCATTCTTAAAGACTAGAGCATGCCCTGCTGTGGGGTAGTGAAGCCAGTTTATATTTGCTGCACAACACTAGGTGTCTGGAATAGCTTCTCAGGAGGACACACAGAGGAAGTAGCCTTTCTAGAAAGGTAAAACACACCATGGGATAGAAGAGAATGGAATAGAAAAGGAGGAAGAATGGAAACTTAAGTTTGCTGTATTTCACATTAACTCCTGTGTCATTAGTATTGTGTTTATGAACTTACTTTAGACTATAAAAACAGTAAACATGTAGAATAGTAAGTGTCACCACCTTCCAAATTTTTCTAAGGTAGCTACCTGTGGTCATAGGTTAGTCTAAATTCAGCTACATACAGAAGTAGAATGGAATCTTAGAAATATTTGAGATTTCTGTGGATGTGAGGTCACAAGCTTTTATACTAGAAGAAGCATTCTCTAAGCTTTATATGATATTTGAATGAAGTTTTCCTTTGGTGATGAATGTCTTTTAAACCATGTCATAAAAAGACTCAAATGCTTTCCTGGTGGGGTACCAGGAATTTACATGTCCCGATCCTAGCTTTGCATCCGATTCACCTGGGGGGAGCCCAGGAAGCTAGGGCCCAGTCAATGCTGAAGCCCAATCGGGTTTGGGAACTTAACTTGCAGAAATCTTTCTAGTCCATGAAAACTGTTCTGGTTAGTCTATCCTTCCATCCTCAAACATCTTAGAAACTCCAGAAACTAATCTTCTCCAAATGTGCAGAATGATACTAAAATATCTATGGAAAAGCAGAATTCTTTTTTATTTCAACAGGTTTTTGGGAAACAGGTGGTGTTTGGTTACATGAGTAAGTTCTTTAGCGGTGATTTCTGAGATTTTGGTGCACTCATCACCCGAGCAGTGTACACTGTACCCAGTGTGTAGTCTTTTATCCCTCACCCCCCTCCACCCTTTCCCCCAAGTCCCCAAAGTCCATTGTGTCACTCTTAGGAGAAAGTCAGTATTTTTGAAAGGTGTGGAAGAGGGGATTTTGCTCGATGAAAGGAGAATGTGTGAATCTTCCCACTCCGTGTCCCTCATTTTTCCTGGAATTTTTTTCAGGCTATCCGACATGTTCAGACCATGTATGAAGAGGCTTATAATGATTACCTTAAAGACAGGGGAAAAGGCAATGGGACGCTCATCACCTTCCACTCAACAGTGAGTAACTTTACTTCTTCCTTCAAACCGCAGCTTCTAAAGATCATGTGTGAGCCATGTTCTCACCAGTCACCAGGATTAAAAATAAAAATAATTTCAGTAAAGCCAAGTAGCAGCACCTGTTTTAGCCCTTTCAAGCTCCATAGTTTGCATATGTGGAACCCTAGAAGGGAAAGATGTCTGTCACACAGAATTCACAAGAGACAAAAGTGCATGAATCCAAAAGATACATTCCCCCCAAAGAGACAAAAGAGCACAAACCATGCACGGAGAAAGGAGCCCAAATAAATAGCAGGCTGTGTCAGAGGGTAACTTGTGGTGTAACAGAAACAAGTGTGACCTTTCAGGCAGAAGAGTTCATTTCTAGCTGCAGCTCCACCACCTAACAGCCCTGTGACCTTGAGCAAGTTACTTGGCCTCCCTGATACCAACTCAGCTCCCTCATTTGTAAAACGAAGGGTCACGGGAGATAGCTACACTCCCTTCTGGAACATACAGTGGAACTGTGCTGTCCATGCAGTTAATCATGGAAGGCTTACCGAAGAGATGGGGCAGGCCAGAGTCATTCTGATTTTTTAGACACTGTGATATGGAGAAGTGGCTGAATTCCTGGGCCAGGCGTTTTCAGGTACACATTCTTGTCTAGAACAGGTATATCTTGGAAAGTGGCCTCCATTATACATTTATACAGTTTCACTTCAGCTGCCTTCAGGACCTGAAGCAACACACGGGTTCTTTTGTCTTAAAGGCCCCGCTAGCCTAAGGCAGGCACCTCTTTGCTGACCAATCTTCAAGTCTGGTCTTTTGGCCACCTGGAATTTCCTACAGCCACTTCTCCTCTATTTTCCAGACTTCCCAGCTAATGAGTTTTTCCTGAAGCTCATAAAACTTCAGGTCCTCAGCAGGTTAAATGACTCCCAGTCTGAAAGAAGGAATCTGAAGCCCCAACCCCTTTCTAAAGAGCAGCAATTTACACAGACACCGTCAATTAGCTTCTTGCCTTGTTTGGGTTCCCTTGAGTCACTTCCCATCATAAACTCAGATGGCTTTAGTGAAGTCGAAGTCGTTTTCTTGTTTTGCCAGCATGATGACGTGATTGTTCGCTGTCCTTCCAGAAATAGCAGTCTGGGTTGCAATGACGGGGCCTCGGAGCTGCTCTGCTGCCTCAGCACCCCAGTCCTTAGCAGGGTACCCAGACTTGTAGCTGCTGCTCCTCCCTCCTGGTCCTGAAGTCTCTTTTCTGACTCTCTAGTTTCAGTGCTGTGGAAAAGAAAGCTCCGAACAGGTCCAACCCACGTGCCCAAAGGAGCTTCTAGGACATAAGGTAAGCTTCTACCAAGGTTCCTGCTGTACCTGTGTATGAAGTGGGTTTTGCCTTCAGGGTAGGGTCAGGGGCTCAGGTCCTACCTCAAGGATTCTGGGAGGCCCTCTCCCAGTGGCTTCCGTGCCTTGGCCTTATTCCATGTGAAATAAGTGAAGCAATCCAGAGTCACAGTCCCCTGGTGCCCTGGGAAAAGATATGCCAACTTCCCGTATTGGTGCCACCTGCTTATGGTATTAATTAAGCTCACCAGGGCTGAAGTTTGTGCCCAAGAATGTTGCCCCACACCTCTCCATGGGAGTCACAGCACTGATAAATGCTTCCTTTATTAAGTGCTGTGTGTCAGAGACTATGCCAGTTTCTGGGAACTCTGAGATGAAAAAGACATGGTCTCTTGCTCAGCAGCCTCACAGACTTAGTCAAGGTCAATAGCGCTATGTAAGAAGTCTGAACAGGGAGCCCTAAAGCAGTAGATTTAGGAAAGCTTCATAGAGGAGCAGGTCCCTGAGCTGAGTTCTAACAAAGGAAGGCCACTCCAGGCCCAGAAAGCAGCAGGAACACAGTCAAGGCCACGTGAAAAACTCCAGGACTGCAGGTAAAGAGGGAGCCCACAGAGAGCACTGGGCAACATGTTGAGAGAAGCAAACAAAGGCATGATTTTACACCTGGAAGTTTGAGGGAGCCATTAATTTGAGCAGAGAATGAGCAAAATCCGCTTTGAGTTGTAGAAAGTATTTTCAGGCTGCTGGAGTGTGAAGGAATAGAGTTGGAGAGTAATGGAGGAAGACCACTTAGGTGGCACTTGTGGTCACCCTGATAAGAGAGGATGTGCGGCCACAGCGAGTCACAAACAGTAGGGATGGAACATCAAGAGACGTTCAGGAGGCAAAATCCACAGGCCTGGGTGGCTTAGTGGGTGTAAGTGGTGAGTGAGTGGAAGGAAGGAGGCTTATATCTCTAGACTTCTGCTTGAGTGGCTGGATGGGTAGAGGCTCCACTCCCTGACTGTAGGGAAAGGGACAGATCCTGGAGACAGATGACGACTTTGGTTTTGCTCAAGTTTGTATATTAGGTGCCCGTCGACTTACAGGTAGGCTGAGATGAAGACACGGGTAGGAAACTGAGCAGGTTGGCCGTAGCCAAAGCCCTCGGAGTGAACAAGAGCACCAGGGAGAGTGAATAGAACAAGGAAGGAGGAGGGGCTCCATCATTTCAGGGGCAGGTTGAGGCCCAGAAGCCAGCACAAGAGACTGGGAAGGAGGAGCCAGAGTCTATTTGGGAAACCAAGGCAGAGATGGTTCACCCATAAAGTCAAATGTTGGGAAGAGACAAGTAAAGACCAAAAGTAGTTTGTTGGATTTGTTGGCTAGAATATCATTCATGACTTTTGTCACATAGTTTCAGCAAAGTAACTGGGGAAAGATACAATGTGGGAAAGAGAGAGGGAACTATGAGACTGTGGAGAGAGTAATATAAATATTCTTAGACCCTTGGCTAGGAATGGGGTGGATGAGATTATAGCTCCAGCTCATGTCCCAGATTGGCCACTGAACATTGATTGCGTTCTTCTGAGTTGGATAAAATGAACAAGACACAGCACTGCCCTCAAAGTGCTCACGTCTGGTGGGGAGACGCGCACAGGGGCTATGGACAGCACGTGGGCTGAGTTAAGGCTGCACAGAAGGGAGCACAGTAGACGAAAGTGGCTTAGGATTCCAGGGTCCACAGGAGGCTTCCCTGATGTGATTCTTAGGACGAATTTTGAAGGATGACTAGGAGTTCAGTAAGCAAACAAAAGAAGACTGGGAAGTTTTAGGCAGAGACACAAGACAAAGGCATGGAAGAGAGAGAAGGCAGCTGTCTTCAGGCAAGTGCCAGCAGCGGAAGTGGCTGAGAGCCCAGGTTGCCTGTGGGAAATGGGTGCTTTAGAAAGGAGGGACCCCTACTCAAAGGGCCATGGGCACTCTTGTGAGGCTGAGAGTCTGGCCTTCATGCTGCTAGCTTAGGGAGCCATTGAAAGTAGAATCTGGGATGGGATCTGCATTTTCCCGAATTTGCTTCAGCAGCAGCATCAAGGATTTATGGAAAATGAACAGCGTTGCACTTAGAGACCCATTGGGAAGGCTGCTGTCCTTGTCAGCAGGAGATGTTAAAGAGGGCCTTTTAAGTGACATCTGCAGGAGTGGTGAGCAGTTAAAAATCAGAGAAGAGAAGAGAATCCACTACTGGCTTTGTGGCTTCACCGCCTACATAGATCCATTTATGGAGCTGAGGGAGAGAGGAAAAGAGCCAGTTGTGGAGAAAAGAAAATGAGCTTCATGTTTAACATGCTGATTTTGAGAGGCCAGTGGCACCTCCAAGTGGAAATACTCGGTAGGCAAAAATATCCAGTAGGCAGTTGGAAAATCTGGTTTGTGGCTCTGGAGAGAGGTCTGAGTGTCAGCACTTGATGGGAAAGTTAAAGCTATAGGTACGGATTTGATCCATTAGACTTAGAAAAAAAAAGGGATGAGGATAGAGCCCTGGGGAACAACCACATTTAAGGATGGGCAAAAGAAGAGGTGCTAAAGAAGGAAACTGGAGGGGCAGCCAGACACAAGTGAGGAGACACCGCGGGAAGGGAGCGAACGGTCACCAGGTCCAGGTGCTGCTGTTGAGGGCAATCCAGTATTGAAAAGCTGCCTAGCTTATGTTAGGCACTGTGGATGCAAAGGCGAAGGAGAAAAAGTTCCTACTCCCAAGGAGCTTGCATTGCAGTCTAATAGGAGGGATGAACATGGAGTCGATACAGTGCAGTGATTGACACATGCACGGAACGTGCCTGGTACTCCAAAAGCACAGAAGGAAAGGCACTCAGGAGAGGCTAGAGGCTGGGGGATGGGGAAGGCTGACTGGAGGTAATGATGTCTCAGCTAAATCTTCAAGAATGGAAACTAATTATGCAAGCACTGGGCAGGAAGCGGGAGGGGGAGGCCTGCCTGCAGAGAGACAGCCTAAACAACACAGGCAGAAATTCCATGGTTTGTGTGGGGAACTAAAAGCCCAAGTAAATCCACTAAGATAACTACTGAGAAGCTGGCAGGATTTAGCATGTAAGGAACCAGCTGGTGAAGTGGTGTAAGGGATGGAGTGAGGACAGAGCCCAGATTTTGGAGAGTGAGATGTGAGGAGAGAGGGCATCCTTTCGAGAAGTTTGGATTTGAGCCAAGGACACAAAAAGAAAGTTTATAAAAGGCAAAGTCCAAATTACCATTAAACATATAGAAAATATAGGAAATTAAAAGAAATATATTTAAAACTAACAGCAAATTAAAATGAAGAGGTGCTGTTGTTTAACCTATGAAATTGACCAAGTTTCCCCTCCCCCACCCCCCCGGCTTAATAATAATATCCAGTTTGGGTAAGCGTGATGTGATGAGCATTTTCAGAGAAATTGGTAAATAGGTTTAAAGGTCAGTATAACTGACTGTAAGACTAGAGGAGTAAGTATGTTTTTGCCCTTCTATCCAGGAATTCAACTTCTCGCAGCTTATTCTAAGGAAAAGGAATCAGAAATGGGGACAGACGTTTTTGTGCAAATCATGTTCATTACGATGTTATTCATAACAAAACACTGAACAAGCCCTTCATATGCAGCCTGTAAAGACTTTTTAGTTTCTTAATAGGTAATACATACATTGCATAATAAGCAGGGGATTGTTTAGATAAAATGTAGTATATTCATATGATGAAATGTTTTACCACCATTAAGAATCATGATTTTGCCTATAATCCTGGCACTTTGGGAGGTGGAGGCAGGCGGATTGCTGGAGCTCAGGACCACCTTGTGCAACATGATGAAACCTCATCTCTACTAAAAATACAAAAATTAGCCTGGTGTGGTGGTGTGCATCTGTAATGTCAGCTATTCCAGAGGCTGAGGCAGGAGAATCACTTGAACCCAGGAGGTGGATGTTGTGGTGAGCCAAGATTGCACCACTGCACTCCAGCCTGGGTGACAGAGCAAGACTCTGTCTCCAAAAAAAAGAAAGAAAAAGAGTCATGATTTCAAAGAAATTTTTAGTGAAACAAGGCATTTTTGAAGTTTTAATGTTGAGTTTAGAAAGCACACAGTTGAATATAAAGAATGAACTAAGGGTGTAGGTGTGTTTGTGTGTATCACCAACAGATTTATTATCTTTTGTGGTAAGAGTACAGATGTTTCTTTAAAAAAAAAAAAAAAACTCTTTTCCAGATTTCTACAAGAAGCATTTATTCCTTTTGTAACTAAAGCCAATATATCTTTGATTCATTTGTTTTTCACAAAAAGAAGCTGGCAATGAAGAAGGGAAGGAAGGCCTGATGGCAAAGCTAGAGGAGAACGGTCTTAAGTCTTGTTTGGCTTGTTTTGATTGAAGAACTTGAGCATGTGATAGGAGGGGTGGAAATGTCAATGGAGAAGGAGAGGCTGAATGTATAGGAAGGAAAAAAGGTAACTGGCAGCACAGGCTTCCGGAGGAGCTGGGAGAGAGTGAGACCCAAAGCAGGATATGAGGTTAGCTTTCAACAGAGAAGGGCACCTCTTTGGCTCTGATTAGAGAAAAAGTAGTTGGGAGTGTGCTTGCTACCTACAGCAATGCCTGGCACTGAAGGAAGGGAGCATCTAAGTGTATAGGAGGAGAGGAAGCGTGAAAGAATTGCTATAGACTGACTCTCATTTTTTCCACCAAGTAAGGGAGCCGCTCTGTAGAACAGTAGTTTTCAAACTTTTGTCAGAATGTATTACAGGTATCTCTCGTGGATCTGTGTCCTTCTCTAAACTGAATTCCCAGAAAGCAAGAGAAACCATAACCTGTTGTCTCTGCATCCACCACCCTTCTTCCAGTGACTGATGCAAGGTAGATGCTCAGGAAATGTTTTTTGAATGAATGGAGTATGATAGGGAATATGAAGAGAGCAGTGAGGGTTTCACGTAGTTCAGGTGGTTTCAGAAGGAACCCACCAGTGACAAGTGAATGGATCTGAACAGCCTGAGGATACAGTTGGATTGAGAGCATCTCTCTACTTAAGAGCACTCCAGATAGGAGTGTTTGAAGTTGGGGAAACTAATAATAGTTATAGGTGATCTGTTCCGCTTTCTGTCTAAGTTTCCCCGTCTGTGAAGGCCCTTTGAATCTATGCTGCACGGGTCTCTTATGGGCACAGAAACCCACCAAGCCCAGCCCAGCCACCACAGAAGAGAATGTTCCTCTAGCTCCCAAGACTTGGCTTTTCTAAGTCCTGGCTTTCTTTTGTTTAACATGAACCTGTAAAGACTTTTTAGTTTCTTAATAGGTAATGCTTACATTGTGTAATAAATTGGATCAAAGACATACAAAGTATTTTAAACTGAAAATGACAATATAAAAATAAGGAGTTATTGTTTTAAGGGTATTTTACTTACTCGCTACAAGTAAAAAGTGGCTTCAAGTTTTTAGATTCCTCAGAACCAGACAAATAGCTTCCTTCAGTTATATTCCAGGGCTCTGAAGAAGCCACTGGCTTAAACATGAAAATCCCACCCAAAGGAGAAGCTTATGTTTTTTTCCCCAAACTGCATTTTTGCTGTAAGCTTGTCAGGATGGTGTTACCAAAGATGAATTGTTGAAACATGCGTAGAAGCTGACGTGGATTGACTCTCACAGGATGAGCTATAGAGATGGAAGTGATTGGATCAGGGTCATATTGACACATACAATCAGTTTTTATTCCTGACTTTTTTTCTCCAAAACAGAATTGCATCGATGAAATTGAGACCATAATCAGTGTTAAGCTCCAGCTCATTGGAATTGTCGGTATTGGAATTGCAGGTCTCACGGTGAGAAAGTTCTAGAACTTACCTTTTTTTCCCCTCTAAAAAGCCTTGAAACTTTGCATCTTATATCTCTTCAAGTATGATATGATAGTATCTTAAGAGGGAGTTCTCATAAAGAAAAAAGACCTTTGTTCACAATGTATTATATCTTCTAAGAACAAAGCTCATTAAATATATTAATAGTTTGTCCTCTAAAATATAATACAAAATTCAACTTTAACTCATTATGACCTTGAGTGTATCATTATATTAACTTCCCATTTTAGGGTTACCATTCATAACCTAGATAAATGATTTTCAACTCTGGGTCTCTTTCTGCTGTTACAAATTCAAAATATCAGGTTAATCTCTCTCACCTATGATTTGAAGAGGCAGCAGAGCATGGAGATTAATAAGACAAGCTCTAGCATCACATGATTTAGATGTAACTCTAGGCTCCACCACTTGTCCGTGCTGGGATCATAAGAAAGTTTCTTAATTTATCTATACTTCAATTTCCTCATCTGTTAGATGGGAAATTTCATATGTAAACCTCATAAGATTGCTGTGAAAATTCATTTGGATATACATATAAATTAGTATTACAAATTAATACAGGTCACGTGTCTGGGACATACAGCACTCAACAAGTGCCAGCTTTCTGCATATCTACCAGGCAAAAGCAACGATACAGGAGAAAGTACGAAGCATAGTGCATCCAAGCCACCACTAGGTGGCTCTGTACTTCTACAGTACAAGTGTGCGGGAAAATGGGTAGCAGTGGACATGTATGGCAGGAGTCGCAAGAGATGGTAATGGAGAGAATATTGGGTCCACATCATTAAGGTCTTTGTATGCTACTTTGAAAGGGTGGACTTCATCCTTAAGGACAAGGGAGTCACCAAGGGTTGGAAGAAACTGTGGTAGAGGATAGAGGAAAGATTGGAGGGAGGCAAGCTTGGATTTGGGAGGCCGGTTAAAGGGTGATTTCCACTATCCAGGGGTTGGGTGATAATAATGCTAAGATAGCATTTACTCGCAGGCCTCTATGTGGATGAATTTATGGCCTAAACTAAGGCAGGGGCTCTGGGAATTGTGAGAAAATTAATGAATTTGTAGTTATCAGAGGACACACAAGCACCTTCCCCTTTTCTGTATTTAGAGCACAGAGAGGTGGGGAAGTGGCTGGAAATAGTCTTCTGAGGCCCTCCAAATCAAGGGACATCTCTCAGGCCCTCCCCACCTGCTCTGGGGCTAGCCTGGTTGCAATTCTGCAGCACCCCGCCACCCCCCAAGGACAATTCTGAGACAGGAGATGTGAGCATGTGCTACATAATGGAGATAGGGAGTAGACCTTTCTAGTAGTTGTACAATCTCAGCAAATGAGCAGTCTGGAAGCAGTCATCGTGACTGTGTCATGAGTAGGCTGAGACTGAAGAAGTCTCTTTGAAGCCAGGATGGGGTGGGGATTGCATCCCACCTTATGACCATGGTAAAGGGGAAATGTCTGCTGTGGGCTTATCTTGAATCGGCAACCCCCCGCCCACACCCCCCCCCCACCCCCCCACCCCCCCAACCCCCTCCCACCCCCCCCACTCCCCCAACCCCGGTTTCTTCGTTAGTTCTTCTCTCTTAAAGTATGAGTTGCACAGCGTAATCGGTTAACCAAATGTCCATTGGGTGTCTCCCTGCTACACACTACTACTGAGTCTTGTCATCCAGAAGCTTGAAATCCTGTTCCTGGCCATGCCCTTACCTGTTTCTCCCCTCCTTTTTCAAAACAACTGATCATTCATATCTTGTTGAATTTAGCATTTACAGATCCTAGTCTGACTTAGGATGGAATTGAAGCGAGAAACAGAAAGTTATAATGCCCACTTTTAAAAATAAACATTGACAGTAGTTTATAGAATGGTACCCACAAATAGGGTTCCGTGGGCTCTACAAAATTGTAGAGGAAATAATTGCGGACAAGAAGAATCCTTGCCATTCTTCTCTTGAAACCATGGAAATGGATATTGATTTCACTCAAGTATTTAACTTCTCAGAGAACTATCCAAAAGGTAAAAGTCAGTAATAATATAGTATAAACACTCCAGTTTGTGCTTTGGTAAAGCTATTGAATTACACAGTGAAGCATCGTTTGCACTTAAAAATGGACTGAGAATGAAGTGATGCTCCACTTTTTTTTTCCTTTTTTTGTGAGGCAGGGTCTCTGTCACCCAGGTGTAAAGTGGTGCGATCACAGCTCACTGCAGCCTGGACCTCCTGGGCTCAAGCGATCCCCCCACCTCAGCTTGCCAAGTAGCTGAGACTGTAGGGACACACCACCACAATCAGCTAATTTTCGTGTTTTTTGTAGTGACAGGGTTTCACCATGTTGCCCAGGCTGGTCTAGAACTCCTGAGCTCAAGCAATCATCCCACCACCACCTCCCAAAGTGCTGGGGTTACAGGCATGAGCTACTGCACCCAGCCAATACTCCATTTTTTGATATATGGTTACTGTTGCAAAAATTCAGAGCTTTTCCAACAATAGAAAATTCTTTAGACCACAAGCATATCTAAACAAGTGGTTATATCTGGGATTAACTTAAAATATAAAATTTCAAAGCCAGTGTTGCATCTGGCTTTCACAATTATTCAAAACTGTTCTATAATTCTAAAGCAGGGTAGGTTCTTAAAGCAGAGCCTTGTTATTTGTTACCAATAATAAAACATATTTAAACAATTAATCTGGAAATCTTTACCCCATAGTCAACCTTAAGTAATGTACTAAAATGTCATTTGTAACTGGTAATTAATGGTTATAATCATTTGTTAACTTGAGTTAGACACCCAGGGAGTCTGCAGAACTTTTTACCAATTAGTACCCGTTTGAAAGTGGCTGATGAGCGGTTCCTTCTGTTTCAGATCTGTGGCATGATATTCAGCATGGTCCTCTGCTGTGCGATACGAAACTCACGAGATGTGATATGAAGCTACTTCTACATGAAAATTGTAATCTAAAGCTTTCATACCAAATGTCACAGGAGCTGTCTCCCAGCTCATTTTTAATACTGAAATGACATTAAGGTCTAAAATAATTTGCTGTCAATTGTATATCTGCATGAGTATGTATGTCTGGGTCATTACTGGTTTACCCCTTGAGTGAATGCCTATGTATGTTGACTGAGAGCATATTCATGTGTGATCAGCGTGTTTCTAGCATATGCTTTATACATCATGAAATTTGTTTGCTGGAAATTCCTGACTCTTGTTATATAAGAGGAACAACCCATTTCACTACCAGAAAAAGATCAAAAAGCTTTCAGAAACTTTGAGAACTTGGCTGTTTAGAAAAAGCGATAATGGATCAGTTTCTCACACTGTAGCCTTTGAAAATTAGATGCAGAGAATTCAGAGATTTCTTCTTAATGGAAGCAATAAGCTATATGAATTGAGAGATTACATCGGAGTGTTAAAACTGACTATGTCTAAGTTGGGTGTAAGGGTTTCCTGAATTTTTTTATATTCGTGCTCTCCTCAAAATACAGTAAACCACAGTTTTAGAACTAAACACATCTGTAAAACCAAATATAGCATGGAAAATCTAATTTGAATAAGTCATGCTTTCCTAGAATTTAAAAATAAAAAAGCCTTCCTCTGGAAAGAGAAGTCACACAGACAATCATGTGCCCTATAAAAGTGAGTGTTTATAGGACTAAAAAACTTTTAACAACTTTTTAAGGAAATATTTTTGGTCTTATGCAAAAACATGTAAATACTGCTTTTTTAGTTTGCTTTTATGATCCTGCTCCAAACTACTGCAGCCCTCACATCCTCAAAGGGGCTTTTATGTTAAACTCTTCTGTTTCTCTAAATATAAGAACAGAAAGACTAAAGCAAAAGACCTGGCAGTTGAAAATTGTGGGAAAGAGAATTTTTACTGGCACTGTATCTTTGAAATACCTCATAACTTACGTTTACATGTTTTCCTAATTTTTTGTATTTTTCTTATATATTCAGTTAGAGAATGCTTCTTCATAGATTAAGAACTACAGTTTTCACCACCTAAAATAAGTAAAACAAGCGTCTTCATAATTTAACCGTTAGCATCATTTGCCAACCAAAATAAAACAAAGAAAAGCCTCTTTTCCTAGTTGTGTGCAGGCAACAGAAACTAGTTAAGGAAACAAAAATACACACACAGAACAAAATTTTTGTGTGTGTGCAGATCCCCTGAAAATAAAATTTTGAAGGTGTTTTTAGTCTTAATGCTTCATTTTAAGTTTGTAAACCCAAATTTAGGATTGATATTGGCATATTTTTCGGTAATTTTCAATGTGTTACAGTTAGTAAACAGTAGGTTTTTTAAAAATTACATTTTATATGGCCACACATAAATGAAAATATGGGAGGCTTTGGAAACCCCCAAGTGAACTTCTATACATGTGAAAACACAAGTCTTTCAGTGTGCACTAAAAGTGTCACGCTCCTAAAAAACTCCAAAACATTTTGCCAAAAAGATATAACTGCTTGAAATAGTCTCTCTTCCATGAAGAACCACATTTCCCTTTCTGCCATATTTGCTACTGCTACTGATTTTGGAGGAAACTTTTCTAGAAGAAGAAAGGTCAGATTTGAGGCAAGCTAAAAACTCAATTCTACATGGCTACTTTACTGTGTCTATAGCTAAAGAAAAATTATTTTACAAAAATCGCTTCATGAAATATGTTTATACCCCAGCAGTTGAGAAATGTGACCTTTTAGGCAGAGAACAGACAGACAGTCCTGTCTGTTGGCTTTAGTTTATCTCTCTGCCCGAAGACAGGAAACAGGAAACAGGCCCAAGTACGTACTCAGGTTCCTTCCAAACTCAGAAGCATCTCTGATTTCACAAAGTGAGTTTAATTTCCTACCTGAATTAGCAACTTTAAAGAAGACTAAAATAGTTAAAAGTGGAAAAATAGAAATAAGTACATTTTTTAAAAATTTAAAGTGGAAGAGAAAGGTTCTGTTCCATGTATGATTAGTGTGCCCCTTTTGGGGGTAAGCTTTCCAAAATATGTACATGTATAAAATTAGAGAATTCCACCACTGAGCGACAGATTTTATGTGTGTGTGTGTATATATATGTGTGTGTATATGTATATACACACTATATACACACAGATAAATATATATCTGTGTAAATAGACACACATATAGTATATCTATATATGGATATATAATCCCTATATATCTTGAATCTACAAATATCTTTATACATATATAATTTGAATATATACATGTATGTATATATGGATATGTGTGTGTGTGTGTGTGTGCGTGTATATATATATACACACACACACATACACATATACATGCATTTTCAGTTATTTCTGTTCCCCTGAATTGATTTGAGATCAGACCCAAACATGCTTTTAAATGTCTCATGCCAAGGCACTGAATTAAAACGTCTTAATATTGAAATATTTTAAGTGATTTCAAATTAAATTTTCTATATACTGAAATTGCTTGTCTGATTTATCTTAAAGTCCTGTATCTTTCTACAAACCTTCACCCAACTTATCTAAATGTCTAACTACCAATCAAATAATGCGGTAAAAATAAATAAATAAAACAGAGTGGTAACCCTTCTATAATTTGCCATTGGTAGTTGAACTTAAAAGCAACACCCAAGGACTCTTATTGGAATGATATTCAGCATGGTCTTCTGCCGTGCGATATGAAACTCACTGAGAGATACAATCATCTCTCAGTATTCATAGGAGGATGGTTCCAGGACCCCCGTGGATACCAAAACTCACAGTTTTCCAAGTCCCTCACATAAAATTGTGTAGTATTTGCATATAACCTATGCATATCCTCTCATATACTTTATTTTTTTAATTTTTATTTTTTTATTAATACATAATAGTTGTACATATTTATGGGGTACATGTGATATTTTAGCATACAATGTGTAATAATCACATCAGGGGGCCGGGCGCGGTGGCTCAAGCCTGTAATCCCAGCACTTTGGGAGGCCGAGGCGGGTGGATCACGAGGTCAAGAGATCGAGACCATCCTGGTCAACACGGTGAAACACTGTCTCTACTAAAACTACAAAAAAATTAGCTGGGCATGGTGGCGCGTGCCTGTAATCCCAGCTACTCAGGAGGCTGAGGCAGGAGAATTGCCTGAACCCAGGAGGCGGAGGTTGCGGTGAGCCGAGATGGCGCCATTGCACTCCAGCCTGGGTAACAAGAGCGAAACTCCGTCCCAAAAAATAATAATAATAATAATAATAATAATCACATCAGGGTAATTGGGATATCTATTATCTGAAACATTTACCATTTCTTTGTGTTGGGAACATTCCAGGTCTTCCAGGTCTTTTGAAATATGTAATAAATCATTATTGTTAACTATAGTCACCGTGCTGCGCAACTGAATATTAGAACTTATTCATTTTATCTAACTGTATTTTTGTACCCATTAATCAACCCCTCTTCATTCCTCCCTGCCTGCTACCCCTTCCAGCCTCTGGTAACCACCATTGTATTTACCACCTCCATGAGATCAATTTTTATAGCTTCCACATGTGACTGAGAGCATGATTTATCTTGATGATATTTGTCTTTCTGTGCCTGGCTTATCTCACTTAATATCCTCCAATTCTATCCGTGTTGCTGCAATTGACAGGATTTTATTCATTATTCAACCATTGTCATTATTGTCATGGCTGAATAATATTTCCTTGTGTATATATAGCACATTTTCTTTAGCCATTCATCTGTTGATAGACACTTAGGTTAATTCCATATCTTGGCTATTGTGAATAGTGCTGCAATAAATATGAACATGCAGATGTCTCTTTGATATATTGATTTTATTTCTTTTGGATATATACCCAGTAGTAGGATTGCTGAGTCATATGGTAGCTCTATTTTTAGTTTTTTGAGGAACCTCCAAACTGTTTCGCATTGTGGCTGTTGATTGTTTCCTTTGTCGTGCAGAAATTTTTAGCTTGATGTAATCCCATTTGTCAATTTTTGCTTTGGTTGCCTGTGCTTTCGAGGTTTTATCCCAAAAATATTTGCCTACACCAGTGTCCTGAAGCATTTTCCCATTTTCCCAGTGTTTTCTTCTAATACTTTCATGGTTTCAGGTCTTACATTAAGTCTTTAATACATTTGAATTTTGTGTAGTATTAGGGGTCTGGTCTCATTCTTCTGCATATAGTTAACCAGTTTTCTCAGCACTATTTGTTAAAGAGGCTGCTCTTTCCCCAGTGTAAGTTATTGATGCCTTTGTTAAAAGTGAGTTAGCTGTAAATGCATAGGTTTATTTCTGGGTTCTCTATTCGGTTCCATTGGTCTGTGTTTGTTTTTATGCCAATACCATGCTGTTTTGGTTACTATAGCTTTGCAGTATATTTTGAAAGTAGGTAGCGTGATGCCTCCAGCTTTTATTTTTTTGCTGAGGATTGCTTTGACTTTGTGTGTGTGTGTGTGTGTGTGTGTGTGTGTGTGGTTCCACATGAATTTTAACATTTTTTTCCATTTTTTTGAAAAATTTTCATTGGTATTTTGATAGGGATTGCATTGAATCTGTGGATCATTTGGGGTAGTATGGTCATTTTAACAATATTAAGTCTTCCAATCCATGAACATGGAACTTTTTTCCATTTTTTTCTGCTCTCTTGAATTTATTTCATTAATGTTTCATAGTTTTCATTATAGAGATCTTTCACTTCTTTGGTTAAATTTATTCCTAAATTTTTTTGTAGTTATTGTAAATGGGATTACTTTCTTGATTTCTTTTTCAGATTGTTTACTGCTGGCACATAAAAATACTACTGATTTTTGTATTTTGATTTTGTGTCCTGTAACTTTACCAAATTCATTTATAAGTTCCAACAATTTTTTGGTGGAATCTTTAGGTTTTTCTAAATATAAAACATGCCATCTGCAAACAAGGATGATTTGACTTCTTTCTTTCCTCTTTGGATGCCTTTTCTTTCTCTTGATAAACTGTGCTGGGTGGGACTTCCAGTTCTATGTTGAATAGAAGTGATGAAAGTGGGCATTGTTGTCTTTTTGCACATCTTTTAATTTATGGCCAGGCACAGTGGCTAACGCTGGTAATCCCAGCACTTTGGGAAGCCAAGGCAGGTGGATCACATGATCAAGAGTTCAAGTTTGAGACCAGCCTGGCTAACATAGTGAAACCTCCTCTCTACTAAAAATACAAAAATTAACTGGGCATAGTGGCATGTGCCTGTAATCCCAGCTACTTGAGAAGGTGAGGCATGAGAATTGCTTGAGCCTGGGAGGCTAGAGGTTGCAGTGAGCAGAAATCACACCATTGCACTCCAGCCTGGGCAACAGAGTGAGACCCTGTCTCAAAGGGAAAAAGAAAGAGAGAGAGGGAGGGAGGGAGGCAGGGAGGGAGAGAAGGAGGGAAGAAAGGAAGGGAAGGAAGGAAAGACTTTTAATTTTTAATTTTTCCATGTTCAGTATGATGTTAGCTGTGGTTTTATCTTATATGGCTTTTAATGTTGTGAGGTATGTTCCTTATGTCACCAGTTTGTTAAGAGTTTTTATCATGAAGGATACTTCATTTTATCAAATGCCTTTTCAGTATCTATTCAAATGTTCATATGGTTTTTGTCCTTGTTCCTATTAATGTGATTTGTCATGTGTATTGATTTGTGTATGTGGAATCATCCTTGCATCCCTGAGATGAATCCCAATTAATTGATCATGGTGAATGATCTTTTTAATGTGTTGTTAAATTCTGTTTGCTAGTATTTTGTTGAATATTTTTGTGTCTATGTTTATTAGGAATATTTATCTGTCATTTTCTTTGTTGTTATATTTTCATCTGGTATAGCTATCAGGGTAATACTGGCCTCATAAAATGAGCTGTCCGTTTTGGGGGAATAATTTTAGTAGAATTGGTGTTGGTTCTTCAAATATTTGGTAAAATTTGGCAGTGAAGCCATCAGGTCCTGGGCTTTTCTTTGATGGGTGTCATTTATTACTGCTTTTGTCTTATTACTTGTTATTAATCTGTTCAGGTTTCTTCTTCATGGCTCAATCATGGTAAATTATATGTACTTAGAAATTTATTCATTTTTTTCTAGGTTTTTCAATTTATTGGCGTATACTACAAAAGTCTCTAATGATCTTTTGTATTACTGTGGTGTCAGTTGTAATGTCTTCTTTTATGTCTCTTATTTACTTGAGTCCTTTTTTCTTAATTAGTCTAGCTAAAGTTTGTCATTTTTTATCTTTTAAAAATATTAATTTTTCATTTTGTTCCTCTTTTGCGTTGTGTTTTAGTATTCATTTTATTTATCTCTACTCTGGTTTTTATTATTCTAATTTGGGATTTGGTTTGTTCTTGCTTTTCTAATTCTTTAAGGTACATCATTAGATTGTTATTTGAAGTCTTGCTTTTTTGATATAGGTATTTATTACTATAAACTTCCTTCTTAATACGACTTTTACTGTACTCCATAGGTTTGGTATGCTGTATTTCTATTTTCATTTGTTTCAAGAATTTAAAAAATATTCTTAATTTTTTCATTGACCCATTGGTCATTCAGGAGCATGTTGTTTAATTTTTATGTATTTGTTCAATTTTCAATGTTCTTCTTGTTATTGATTTCTAGATTTTATTCCATTGCAGCCTGAATAGATATTTGATATTATTTCAGTGTTTTGAGTTTGTTGAGACTTGTTTTATGACCTTGCATGTTGTCTTTCCTGGATAATGTTTTCATGTGCTTGTGAGAAGAATGTGTATTCGGTAGCAGTAGGATGAATGTTCTAAAAATGTCAGTTATGTCCATTTGGTCTAAAGCATAGTTTACCCTTCATGTTTTTTTTTTTTTAATTGTCTCTCTATATGATCTATCCATTGGCAAAAGTTGGGTTTTGAGGTTCCCTACTGTTATTGTAATGGACTCTATCTGTCCCTTTGTGCTCTGCTATTGAGCACAATTATATTTACAATTGTTATATCCTCTTGCAGAATGATCCCTTTACCATTATATAATGACCTTCTTTGTCTCTTTTTAGAGTTTCTGATTTAGAAAGAGACAAAGTGTTGGGTCTTGTTTTTTCATTCATTCAGTCACTCTGTGTCTTTTAAATCGGAGAATTTGGTCCATGTTTACATTCAGTGTAATTAATGGCAAGTAAACACTATTGCCATTTTGTTATTTGTTTTCTGGTTTTTAAGTCCTTTATTTTATTCTTACTTTCTCTGTGCTTATTTTCTCTGGTGTTACGTTTTAATTTCTTGCTTTTTATTTTTACTCTATCTGTTATAGGTTTTTGCTTTGTGGTTGTTAAAGACAAAAATATAGTTTAATAACTTGTTTTAAACGGATAACTTTGAACACAGAGAAAAGAAGCAAACAAACAAGTTTTTAGTTGTTTTTAGAAAAAAACTAAAAAATTCTACGTCTTTTTTTTTAGAGGATTAATAGATTTTATTCATCAATTCTGACCATTGAATTTAAAAAAATTCGATATGACCAAAATCTAACTTTGAAATTTAAAAAAACTCTGAGTAGGATTTCCTGTTTTCCTCAGCATCTTAAATTATCCTCTTTTCTTGTACTATGTGCCTCTATCATAGCCTC